TTCCTGAACTGATCTCTACCTTATTTTCTCTCACTGAATCTGAAGCTCCCTAATTTGGCCAGAAAATCCTTGAGCTCCTCCTGTCCCAGCTTCCTCAGCACTAGGATTACAGACATGGCTTTTGTTGAGGTGGGGTCTCACCATGTAGCCCTGACCAGCCTGGATTCACAGAGATCTGGCCCCTGCCTCTGCCTCTGCCTCTAGAATGCTGGGGATAGATGCATGTGCGGGCCAGCTGTGGCTTTTTGCCTGGATAGCTGGAGACCAAACTCAGGTCCCCTGGCTTGCAAACTTGAGCTATCTCCTGCCCTGCTGTGTAGCCTGGATTACCTGGTGTATTTTCTATGTAGCCCAGGTTGGCCCCAAAGTCACAGCAATTCCCCTGCCTCAGCCTCCTGAGTACTAGGTTGCAGGCATGCATCACTGTGCCTGGCTCCTGAGGTGACAGGTAAAGATGTGCTTTTTTTCTGAAGGAAGGCAACCCACAAGAGGCAGGGGTGAGGAGCCGAAAACAAGTCTAAAACACAGCTCACGTGGGAGGGGTGGGTAAGCTTAGTGGGAACAGCAGTAAATTCAACTCTTGGGCAGACCAGGTTGGGCAAACCATGGTTTCCAGGAGGGAAGAGGTGGAGAAGTGGGGCTCCCCCTGAGGCATTCTCCGAAAGCCCCAGGGTTGTGTTGACAGCCTGGGAGCCCAGTGGGGTAAGGCCTCAAGGCCTGGACCAGAGCTGGAAAATGGTTTCTGCCCAAACAGGACAGGAAGATTGATGGCCTGCTGCTAGGTTTGCGCTTGGCTTCCAGGACTCATGGGTTTGTTTCAGGGAATAATGATGTACTCAGAAGAGCAGGTGGTTGCAATGATTTGGTTAGGAGAGGACTGTGTGTCCTGTGGAGCCCAAGGCAGGCAGTGGGGGCAGGAGTGGAGGCTGAGTGAAACCAGGACACTGCCCTCAGAGCCCAGGAGAAGGCACCTGACCCAAGGCCCCAGCAACACTTAGGCCAAGGCTGGGGTGGTCTCAGTGGGAAAAAGGTCTTCCTAGCTGGAGCAAGGTTTAGATTCTGCAACCCTTGCTTTCTAATTGATGAAAAATCTTTTTTCTTTTTTTGAGACATGGCTTCACTGTAGACCAGGCTGGCCTTGAACTCACAGAGACCCGCTTGCTTCTGTCTCCTGAGTGCTGGGATGAAAGGCCTATACCACCATGCCCAGCTGGTGCAAAACTCCTAAGGAGCGGTGTGTCTTCACATTTGAGTACCTGCCAGGCACAGCAGGAAAGACACCTGGGACTGCAGAGCCCAGAGAAGGGCCCGTCACAGTGTGGACCCCCAGAAAAGACTTCCTGGAGGAGCTGTGCCCAAGGCCCAAAGAGGAGGGCCTGACAGACCCTTTGCAGGGGCTACTGACGTCAGGGGCCTGTGATGGTGCAGGACGCCAAGGTGGTGGACATTGTGAAGAAGGCTCTAGGTTGCATCTGAACTGGAGACTGGACCCCTCCTGAGGACATTGAGGGGCTCTTGCTCTGGTTCTGAAACCAGAGTGATTTGATGAGGTGTCAGGAGCTTTCTGTTGCTCCTGTTTCTGTTTTGTGTGGTGGGAGAACCAAGAGAGACAGGGGCAGGGACACCTGTCAGGCTGGCGAAAATCCAGAGAGCAGAAGATGTTCAGGACAAAGACATTGGGCCGGGGGCGGGGGCGGGGGTGGGGGTGGGGGACTCAAACAGTGAATCACGTGGGAAGTACAATTGTCAGGATTGATGACTGTTGAGGAAGAAGAAAGAGGTACCTCAGATGACACCCAGGCTTCTCGCTTGAACCCTGGGGTGGCAGTGGGGACATCTAAAGGGACAGATTCAGGGGAAGGTGATGAGCTGGGTGGAGACATATTAGAGGGAGGGATCTAGGTGGGGTGGGCTGCGGGTCCTCAGGGAAATATGAGTATACGCCTGCCACGTTTTATTTAGTTCTTGGGCTTGGCTCTGGAACTTACGCCTCATCTGCTTTAGTTGGAAGGTGAAGAGGATGAGACCAGAAAGGCTGAGTAACTTGCCCTAGACCACAGAGCTCAGGTTTGTTTGGTTTCATGTAGTCACAGAAGTGGCGAGAGGGAGTGATGGGGGTGGGTGAACTAGAAGGTGGCCTCGCTGTGCTCAACCCCACGCCACTCCCACACCAGGGCAGCCTGACCCTGGCTAGGTGAGAGCTTTGGCACAGCCCTATTCACCAGCCCCCCCCCCTCCTGCTTTGGGCTGGCAGGAACAGCATCATCTATCAACCTCGAGGTGTGGACCAAGGGAAATAAACACCAATTAACCACCCCAGCTTCCCTATTAATGAACATCGCTTCCTGACGCTGGGCTCATTTGTGGATTGCTGGCTGCAAGATGATGCGAGGCCAGGAGGCCAGGCTGAGGGCTGTTTAAGAGGTTTAGACTGATTGCGGAGACATCTGCTTGGCAACAAGCTAAGTGGCCTGTGTAGGGGGGAGGCTGGAATTGGAAGGATGGTTCCAGGACCCGGGGCATGGGGTACCTGTGGGTGTAGAGGCTCCCTCTGCATCTGTGGTTCTGTGTAACGGTTGTGGAGCTGGGGCAGGCACTGGCCTCAGCTGCTGGGACAACCCGGAGAACCAGGGTAGCGGCAGGGGGAAGGGATGGGCTTTAGACGCTCCTGGGTTTGAATCCCAGCTGCTATATACTTCACAGCTGTGAGGCCTCTGGGGAAAGCTGGGCCATTTGAGCTGGCCTCCCTCCAAGGCACCAAGGTCTTATCCAGAAGCACCTCCTAGGGCCCCCTCCCTAGCCAAATCCACTTTCCTGTCTAGCCAACCTCTCACCCTTTGGGGTCCCCTCCCCAAAGATCAGCCAGGACTACCTAGGCTCCTGACCAGGCCCCATTACCTCTGACCATTGTTTTAGTATCAGGTGCGTGTCTTATCCACCGAGCACACGCTGCTGTGAGCTCGGCAAGGAAAGAGTCGGACCCCTGCTTCTGAGAACATTGACTACTCACAGAAGGCAGCGTTCACTCAGTACGGCCCATCCTACCAACCCCATCCCAGGAGTACTACAGACATCCGGCTTTTGGAAGCCAGATGGGTGGGCAGAATGCTAGACTACACACTGACACTTTGCTGATTTCAAGCAAGTCTCCTGTCTAAGCCTCAGTTTCCCACATCAGTAGAATAAGGGAATATATGTACACGCGCACGCGCACGCGCACGCGCACACACACGCGCACACACACACACACACACACACGCACACACACACACGCACACACGGTAACGCTTTCTCATAGACACGCCTGCTGACAGACACACAGGGGCACTCAACACATACCATCACCCTGTGTGAGGAAATGGATTGTGAGGAGGCTGTTTTCGGGTGTGGCAGAATCAGCAGGAGTTTGGGGTGGATCTGGCTGCCCGGTGGGGCTCTGGCAAATCTGTTTGGTCAGGCCCCCCTGGATCAGGTGAACATGTGTGGTCCGAGAGAGTGCTCAGTATGGAGTGTTCATGCTGGGAAGGAAGCAGTCAGGACCAGGTGAAACCAAGATCCTTCCCTCCCCCTTCCCCCTTCCCTGCTCTGCCCACTGCACCCTCCCCAAGTCAGTGGCTTCCAGGCAGCCGGCTCCAGAGCCAACCCCGAGGACTACTTCCGCTGAGTTCTCTCCTGCCGCTGCCCAATCCATCGCCCAGGGTCTACTTGTGTGTTCCCTGACTCACTCCAGTGTCTGGGCCGACTCCCTCTGGTTGGTTCTTCCGACTGATTCAGGGTTATAGGAAATATCCTGGCTGGAAATGGGACAAAGCAGATTGCCTGGCCGCCAGGCCAGTGTTTGATGATTAACCTAGAAGCCACCTTCCTGCACCAAGCCCTCCCTTCTGTCTGCACGGCCACAGAGGGAGTTAGTAACACACACTGTGCTAAGGCCAAGGGTGCTCTGGGGGCCTCACTTGCAGTAACAGGGTGCAGGATGCCGTCCTTCCTGGAGGCCGAGGCTTCGGGAATATTAGTCCCCGTGTCTTGCTGTCTTAGAAATTCTGGGTCACCTCAGGGCAATCTGAAGTTCCAACAGACCCCACTCTTCAAATTCAAAGCAGCAGCCTGGGGCAAGGTGCATGCCCAGGCAGCCCCAGAAGACCCTGGCGGCTTTCACGCATCTGTTCCCAGGGCACCAAAGCTGGCGTTCCAATTTTGCTTACTGTAGATTTTTCTTCAGGATGCCAGGGCGCACGCCACACAAACCTTACTCCGTTCTGACGTTCTTGTCCCTTCCCTAACGGGCAGAGGGCCGGTAACCATGCCTTAACTCTTTCCAGGTGGTCTAGGGTGAGGAGGCCCAAGGACAAGGCCTGAGGGGGGGGGGGGTCCTTCCCTTCCTGCCTCTCGTCTGTCTTGGTTTCCAGCCTGCCCCAGGTAATGGCCTTGGCCCCAGCGAAACCCAAAGAAGAGAGCAAGATCAGGTGAACCCCTGAGCCCCAAGAAGTGAAGGTCACCCAGGCAGAGGAGAAAGCCTGGCCCCCACACAGCTCCTTGTTCCTCCTGCCCCTCAGCAGGGACAGCAGCTGCTCCTCCTCAGTCTTGGGGCGGCTGCAGCACTTTGCCCTCCCAACCCTGCCAACGTGGGGGACTTTGGATTTCCTTCCCCCTCCACAGGGGGCTGGGGGATGAAATCCCATCCAGTTCCTCCTCCAGGGTCTGGGGATGGCTGAGTTTCCACTCAGTACAGAGCTGGGATCTGAAGACGGGCTCTCTTCTGCCAGTAGCCAGGGCTTCCAGCTTGGCGAGAGAAAATGGGGCAATGCCAGGCCAGACACGGACTGAGCTTAGAAGCCAGTGGCCGATCCCTATCTGGAGGGGGCACCTACTATGTAAGGATTCCCCCCACCCCAGAGTCATCTCCCTCAGGACAGGGTAGGGCACTGTTCAGCGGACCTAAGAGACCTCTGCAATGAGTGAGTCCTGTTGTCACGACAAGAAGCCACCACTAAAAAAACCCAGCTTAAACAGCAGGTTTATTCTCACAGTTCTGGAGGCTAGAAACTAAACTGTGTCCCACTGAGCTCAATCCAGTCCAGAGCCAGGCCCTGCGGGGCGTTCAGAGGGCGATCCATCTGCAGTCCTTGCTCAGCTCCTGCCTCTTCCTCCACTTCTCACACCCATGTGGCAGCAGTCACCTCCCGCCTCCCTCCCACAGGGTACCCGGCTGGTACCCCGGCCACCTAGATGATCCAGGATCCTCTCTCCTCTAGAGACCTCTAGTTATATGTCTGTGCAGACGCCTGCCACACCACCCAAGGCCTCGAGGTCCCTGGGATGAGGACCTGGGCACATGAATTGCTATCTGTCTCTGACAACTGGGCACAGAATAGATCCCCATAGATCCGTAGTGTTTCAGTGACTGGGGGGAGGGAACTGGAGACCTTTCTTTGGGCTAAACAGGGCCCCTAACCTTATGAAGGCCTAGGCATCAGCAATGTCCCTCCTCTGCTCAGAGACACCCATGCAGTGCAGTGTGTCCTTGAAAGTCAGGTGCAGGGCTAAACTTCAGTGCTGGTGTGAGGGGCAGGGCCAGCTTGGAGACCCACAGCAGCCGGGGGGCCTCGGCGTGCCTACCCAAAGCCAGATGATGGCAATAAGTCCATGGCTAGGAAGAAACAGGGCTCTGGGGCTTGCTGGGGACGTTGGGAGGCCACAAGAGGAGGACTGCTGTGGGCCAGGACAGCACACGTGGGCCTGGAGTATGGCTACAGAGGCTGGCATGATGCAGCAGGAGCTGGGGCTGTGGTCCTGGCCCAGAGAGATGATGCAGACTGTCTGGAAGCAGCTCTGCCCTCAGCATCTAAGGGCAAGGGCAAGGTGGAACTCCGGAGTCCCCTGAGCGTTCCCTGCCCCGAGAGCGGAGGGCAGGAGGGTGGTGGCAAAGCATGGGGTCTTCCTTGCTACCTCTTCTCCATGCTCTGCATCTGCAGACTGAGGGAGGTGAAGCTGGCCAAGAGGTCCGTCACTTCATCCACCTGCAGGAGAAACCCAGGCGGATACCGGGGATCGCCATGGAACACAGGCAGTGCCCCTCTTCGGGGCATACAAATGCTTGCCCCGTCTTGGTGTTTCAGTGACTGGGATGGGGTTTGGAGACTTTTGACTTTTGTGTTGGGCTCAGCAGGGTCTGTCCTTGACCAGTGAAGGCCTAGGTGTCACCAACCCTTGTGACTATGGGTTCATCCTGGGCATCAGGTAGTCTGGGACTGCGGGCCAACCCCCCCCTCCCCCACCGAGAGCAGGGACATGAGCACACACCAGCCTCCAGAGCTTCCCGGGAGTGGACAGAAGCTGTGAGGGCCACGGTGGTGGCGACACCCCAGTCCTGTGGCTACAGCTCACCTGCTCTTTGGTACTTGTCATCTGGAGACGGGTACAGAGGTCATCCAGCCGTTCCCGCTGTTCATGCCGCCCCAGGCGCTCCAGGTACTCCCGTAGCATGTGGATGATCTGGAAGGAGATGGCGGGTTGAGCTGCTGGCTAGGAGGCAGGCACAGGCCCAACTTGCCACCATTAGCATAATGGAGCTGGGATGTTGGGGGTCAGTGAGATCAGGAGCCCTAAGCCAGAGGCAGGAGGTCTGGTAAGTGTGGTACCCATCCAGGTAGAAATCATTCACCTGCTTCACCTCCAGCCGGACGGCCTCCAGGCACTGGGAATGACCTTCCTGTAGGATGTTCAGCTTTGACTTGGCCAGGTGTAGGGGCGTGCGGCCAGCTCTGTCCAGGGCATCCACACGGGCCCCTGTGGGAACAGGCAGATGGAAGCATGCTGGGATGAGACTAAGAGAAGGGCTGGAAGAGGGGGACGGGGCCACATACCTCCTCGAAGCAGTGTGGTGATGACAGGCACATGGTTGGTGCACGCCGCTGCAAAACAAGAGAGACTTAAGAATCACGACTGGCCGGGCGGTGGTGGCGCACGCCTTTAATCCCAGCACTTGGGAGGCAGAGGCAGGCGGATCTCTGTGAGTTCGAGGCCAGCTTGGGCTACCAAGTGAGTTCCAGGAAAGGCGCAAAGCTACATAGAGAAACCCTGTCTCGAAAAACCAAAAAAAAAAAAAAAAAAAGAATCACGACTGTGGAGAACAGGAAAGAGAAGCTGTGTCTGTGCCACATTACTCCTGAGACAGGATCACCAAGGCAGTGTGCCCTATTGGGCAGGATTCAGGTCAAGTCCCATTTTCTCCCTGTACAGTTGGGGAAACTGAGGCCCGGAGATAGGACTCACTATGATCGATGGTGTGAGTCAACAGCAAGGCTGGGTCAGCCCAAGCTCACAACCCACTCCCTAGCAGAGGTGCTGCAGCCAGTCCAGGGCACACAAGCGCCTCTGCCCAGTGCACAGCCTACTGTGAATGGCTGGTCTGGGGGACCCAGGCTGTGGGGAACGCACACTTGTGCTTCAGGCCTTGCCAGGAGGCTAGGAGATACTTCTGGGAGCCTATAGAACCCTAGGCTTTATGTCTTAGAAGTCTACCTTGCAGTGGCTTTGGAGGACTTACCCAGGTGCAGTGGTGTGTTGCCCAGGCCATCCTGTTGGTTGGGGTCAGCCCCATGGTCCAGGAGAAGCTGCACTGAAGACAGAAACAGCCACGGTGTACTGTTAGAGGTCCAGCCACTGAACCCTGCCCTGGAGAGGCGCCCTGGAGTGCAGAGTGCGGGATCCAGACATGGTTCCCCATGCTGCTGCATGCACTCAGTTACTTATGTGATCTGCAGGGTTTATGCGTAGGACCCCAAGGGTCCGGAACCAGGGACTCAGGGAGAATCTCTTGGCCTCTCGGTCCTATCCGACAGAGGGAAGTACCCGGGAAGGCTCCTGAAGGTATTTCCTACACCCCTACAGCAGCACGCTGGCTGCCTGGCCGCACTGAGTGAGGCCATAGATGACGCTGCGCTCCATGAACAGTCTCTCCTCTTCAGCAGTCCGGGGCCACCTCATGTTGCCAGGCCTTGCCAATCATCCAGCTGCAATCACTGGAGGGCCAGGCTGAGTCTCACAAAAGAGCACAAGCTAATTCCAGAGGGATTGGTCAGAGATGAAATGGGAACAGTAACACTGTCACATCTCTAGAAGAAAACAGGAGACTATCTTTGTGGGGAAGGCGAAGATCTCGTGAAGTTACACACAGAAAAACCCACTAACCATTGGAAAGGAGCAGCCAGCACACTGTCGCTGGGCCTGGTGACTTAGGTCTGTGATTCTAGCTATCCCGGGGTCTGGGGCTGGAGGGTCTCAGGTTCAAGGCCTACCTGGTTTGTAGCATGAGCTTAAGACCAACATGGACAACTTACTAGGACCTTGTCTCAAACCAAAAAGTAAAAAGAGGGCTGGAATATAGCTTAGTGGTGGACCACTTGCCAACACACGTAAAGACCCTGGGTTTGAGCCCAGGACCACAAAAGGAAAAAAAAAAAGCCGGCCCAGGTGTGGCAGTGTACACCTGTAATGTGAGCACCTGGAGACAGAAGGAGGTCGGTGGTCATTCTCAGCAACACACAGCAAGTATAAGGCCAGCCTGGACTACATGAGACCCTGTTACACACACACACACACACACACACACACACTTCATTAACAAGCACTTCTGTTTATTAAATGACCATTCCCCAAGGCACACTGGCACACATCTGTCATCCCAGCACTTGAGGGCTCCTGTCCCAAGTCTTCCTTGTCCCACAGCCCGGGTCCCCCTGAGGCATGCAGACAGCAGTTCCTCCCCCATTCCATTCACCGGTCTGGACCGGTTCCTGTCACGTGCCCCGGGACTCACCAATCTGGTCATTGCCATTGCAGGAGGCAAAATGGAGGGCCGTGCGGCCCTTGTCGTCAGCGGCGCAGGGGTCTGCCCCGTCCTCCAGCAGCTGCTGCACTGACCACCGCGATGGCGGAGGAGGAGCGGAGAAAGAAGTAATGTTAGCTGTGCCATAGTCCCTAGGGATGGCCAGTGATGCTCAAGGCCCCTCCAGATGAACCGTTCACAATTCACAGGAAAGGTGGTCCCTCCTAGATGCCGGCCCCACGGGGACTACTGGCCCCCGGGGCATCTGTCATCTTACTGGCCATGGATTCTGTGTTTAACCGATGTGCCTAGGCATCAGCTAGAACATCAGAAGAGGCTCCTGATCTTTACGGTAGGAACTGCAGAGTCACAGTAATTCTGGAGTAGGCCGTGGCCCCATCCTCTGTCTCTGCTAGGATACATATCCGTTCCAGCTGGACACAGCTGCCCAAGCTACTGGCTGGTACTTGGTTCTCAAGAGGTAGCACTTGGAAGGGACCAGAGCACAAGCCCCAGGGACACACAGAGTCCCAGGCTAAGAAGCAAGAAAGGAGTGTACAGCCACCATCATGAGGCGGTGGCAGGAGCTGGGATGAGCACAGGCCTGGAGGCCTGGTCTTCACAGCATCATCAGAAATGGCCTTCATCTCTGCCCTGACATCTGCAGAGCCGCTGTGAGGGCGATAATGGATGTGCTATTGCTTCTCTGACAGTGCAGGGCCCTGAAAAGGGGGAGACATTATGTACTAATGACCATGTCCAGCACAAGTGGGGAAAATTGCTGCCAGTCATTTTAGAGTCTGACATTTTAGTCTCTTTTCCCCAGCAGCACCCTCAAGGATCTGAGTCCTTCCAGCCAAACTGCTCCCTGTCCATGTAGCTCTCCCCAGCTGAGTCAGCCTCTCCTCTCCCACAATTCTCCATTTCCTGTTCATCCTGTTCTTTAGCAGCAGGGGACTGTCCATTCTAGACCAGTGCTCACTGGACAGTGTACTCGGAATTCTGGCCAGGAGTCAGCCTGACAATAGCCATGCAAGGTGTCACAAACACCTGCCAGACCAGGACACTTCGGCCCAGTGAGACATAAGGTTCAGAGGCCACAGCGACCCAGGTGACAAGAGGCAAAGCAGGCCGCAAACCTGGCTTCTTTCTCTGCGCCAGCTCAGCACAGCACTGCTGTTTCCAATTCCTGCCTGGATTTGTTTTGGTTTTCAGTTCTTAGAGACAGGGTTTCCTGTAGCCTGTTGTAGCCCTGGCTGTCCAGGAACTCACTCTGTAGACCAGGCTGGCCTCGAACTCACCAAGATCTGCCTGCCTCTGCCTCCTGAGTGCTGGGATTAAAGCCGTGTGCCACTGCTGCCCAGCTCCATCTGGGTTTTGAACTGGCGTCACTTTATAGTCTTCCTCCTCAGCTATATTACAAGTTTAAGGCTTTGGTATGAGGCATAGTGTCCCTTAAGTGCTCAGTTAGTGTTTCTGACTGGCTGGCTGTCATGTCACACTCCTGTAACCATAGCACTCTAGAGACAGGAGATTCACAAGTTCAAGACCAAACTGAAAGACATCAGCCCTAACCCTATTCTCTTGCCACACCCTAGAGAGTTTTTTAAAAAAGTGTCTGGGTGTGCAGGAAGGCTCAGTAGGTCAAGGCACTAACCCTGACGCCCTGAGTTCAATCACGGAAACCCACAGGGTGGAAGGAGGGAACAAGTATCCCTAAGTTGTACTCTGACATCTACAAGCACACACTTGCTCCCCCAAATAATAGCATTAAAAAATAATGTCTATTATCTTTCATTGCAAAGATGCTCAAATATCCTCAAACATTTAATTTCATGGAAAACAGACCAAAGTGAGAAGTGGACAGACCTTTCAGGTTCTGAGCCTACCGACTATTGCTGAGCCAAAGGCAAGGGAACCATCTGGAAGCAGGTCCCTGAGGTAACTGTCCCTACCCGATGCCTGCTGTAAGGGGCCCTATAACCATGGCCCTTCATCAGTGTTCACATCTTACCTGTTTCTCACAGCATCCCACCACCAAAGCAGAATGCTGTACCCTGGAAGTAGGCAGAACAATGGCCCTCAAATTTTGTGGCTATGTTACCTTCAAGGCAAAAGTAATTTTTATAGATCTGCCTAAGGCTAAATAAAGACTCTAAGATAAGAAGACAATGCTGAATTATCAAGGCCCAACGGAACTGAATGAATCCTTAAAACTAAAGGACTTTTCTTTTTTTTCTTTTTTTGGTTTTTCAAGAAAAGGTTTCTCTGTGTAGTTTTGGTGGCTGTCCTGGATCTCACTCTGTAGACCAGGCTGGCCTCAAACTCACAGAGATCCACCTGCCTCTGCCTCCCAAGTGCTGGGATTAAAGGTGTGCGCCACCACTGCCCAGCCAGAGGACCTTTTCTTACTTCAAAAACTAGAGATGGTAAGATAGGACTCGGCCCACTGTGCCGGCTTTGTAGGTGAGAAACACAGCAACTTAGAAACAAAGAGAAACAGATTCTTCCCAGGACCCTCCAGAAAGAAATGCAGCCTGGAAGACTCCTGCAGTTAGCCTGGCTGGGAAAGCTGGGTTGGACGTGTGACCTACAGAACTGCCCATGCTACATGTGTTGTTGAGCACTGACCGTGGGTCATTTGTTGAGGCCGCTCGGATGGTGAATCCTAACTTGATCAGAGAAGTAACCAGGAGATCACCTGTCAGTGTGAACCTATGAGGGCATTCTCAGAGAAGATTCAGGAAGGAGGGAATTCCCGCCCTGAGCGTGGGCAGCACCATCCCATATGCTGCGGGCCTAGAAGGACAGGACAGGGAAAAGGAGGAAGCCTGAGAGCACATGCATGCTCTCTCTCTGCTTCCTGTGCAGTGACAATGACCTCCCTTCTGTCACGCCCACCCTACAGCAATGGCCAATGCAGACTTGCTTTTCTTTTCTTTTTCATTTATCTTTTTGTTTGTTGTGTATGTATGGTATATGTTCAAAGTGTGTGTAAGTGCATGTGCCTATGTGCCTGCATGCAGGGACCAGAGGAGGGCATTAAGGACCTTCTGTCTCTCTACACCTTATTTTATGACATAAGGTCTCTTACTGAACCTGAAGCTTCCTGCTTCACTTTGGATGGATGGCCACCAAGCTCCTAGGATCCACCTGTCTCCAACCCCCTGATGCTGGGGTTACAGGCACATGGAGCCATGCCTGATTTTCTCACACGGGTCCTGGGGATTTGAACTCAGGTCCTCTTGTTTGTACAGCAAATGCTCTTTCCCACGGAGCCAAGCCTATTATTTTCCTCTCGCTCTGTACCCCAGGCTGTTTTAGAACTTACTGTGTAGACCAGACTGGCCTCAATTTGTCATCCACCTACCTCTGCCTCCTGAGAGCTGGGATTAAGGGCATACCCCACCACCCTGAGATGTGAATGATCTGAGAACTTAAAGATCTGAAATCACGAGCCAAAAGCAACCTCCTTCCTTGTCACCGTGACAGTCTGACAATACAGCAGCCGCAGTGAACCGACACACCCTTCCCCCCGACACATGGCAGGTATCAGCAGCAGTAGCGGTAATGGTAGTAGTAGTACTATTGGTCCTAGAAGCTGTGCTCATACCTCTGATGCTCTACCTCAGTTAGGGAATGCTCAGAAGCAGCAACAGAAAGACAGCTGCAGCGTCCTACAGGGAGCCCCACCCATGCTTGTCAGACGCCCTGTCAGTGACAGGTCTGAGGACCAGGTACTGGACAGCCAGGGAGGCCAGACGATCACCCGGCAGTCAAGGCGGAGCGTTCACTCCTGGGAGCCAAAAGTTCCAAAGTGGGCACGTGCTCTTTGCTGCGGGCTTTGCTGAATCCAGGGGAGGGGATAAAAACAAACAAAACAGGCCTGGTCACTAGCATCAGGAAGCACACAGGGTGATGAGCACTGGGACACCAGAGACGCTGGGTACCAGAGGAGCCCGGTGAGGGAGTACCCACACTTTACTTCTGTTTTGCACAGTGACTTCAGAGTCAGGGAGTGAACACAGCGAGCATGCTCCAAGGAATGAGGGTGAGCTGGCAGACTGCCCGGGTATGGAGTCCTTAGGTGCACACTCACCTGTTTCTACATCATTGGCATTGGCCGAGTCCCTCAGCCTCTTCAGAGCTACAAAGAGAGAAGAGACAGTTAAGAAAAAAAAAAAAGACCAGACCAGAACAGAAGGCGCATGCTTCCCGGCTCTCCCTGGTAGTCCACCTTTCAGTCACAGAACAGAAAGGCAAAGGTACTGGGGTAGAAGCCACTAGTCTAAGGACAAGGAGAACCTGGAACCAGGCCACAGCTGGAGGAGAGACCAATTTCTGTAACAAAGCTGGCTCCTGGAGCCAGATCTAATTTCTGCCACTTGTGGCAGCTGGCAACCTTGAGCACGCCAGTTTCTTACCCTGGGCCTTGGCCCACCATCTGTAAAGCAAGGCTGAGCTGTTCTGCCAGCCCTTAAGTTGTTACAAAGAAAACTGAGGTAATCCTTTTTTAAAGAGAAAGAGTGAGAGGGTTCATTTAGTCCCTTGTGAGCTAACTGCACTCCACCTTTTATTATTCTAGTCCTTCCTAAATGGATTACCAACCTTGCTAATTCCTAAGCAGAAACGTCCACGGACATTGCCTCTGCTTTAGAACTAACAGGAACTACCTTTGCTGTCAGAGAATGGTCCAAAAAAACAAAACAAAACTGCAGACTAGCTGTATCAATTGTATACATCATATGCCACTTCTTTGTTTCTCTAGGACTTTGAAATTCTCTTTTAATCTTCTCTAAGACAGGGTTTCTCTGTGTAGCCCTGGCTGTCCTCGAACTCACTCTGTAGACCAGTCTGGCCTCAAATTCAGAGATCTGCCTGCCTTTGCCTCCCGAGTGCTGGGACTAAAGGCGTGCGCTACCATTGCCCGGCCCTCTTTTGACCTTTATAACACTAACACACCAGATCAAATGGTGCTAGTCTGAAAAGGGACCTTAAAACTTTCATTCTTAACCCTCCTGCACCCCATTTTCCTTTTCACCCATAAACGGCAGAAAACAACATAGCAGATATACCAGGGCAGTCTGGCTGACCTGGGTTCAAATACTGGTACAGTCTTTTTCTATGTGACTTGAAATCAGAATGTCCAAGTGGTAATAACTGGACTTGATATCGATAATATGTAGGATTTAGGGATGCTGAATTGGATTAGTGGGGAAAGATGCTTGCTTCCAAACCCGACCTGAGTGCAATCGCCAGGATTCACACTGTGGACCTAGAACCTGCTACTTCGACCAAGCTAGCCTTGAACTCACAGAGATCTTCCTGCCTCTGCCTCCTGAGGATTACAGGTGTGCACTACCACACCTGGCTGATTTTCTTGTTTACAGTATATTCTGTACAGGTCATTTCCCACGGGTCACAATCTATCTCTGAAAGGATTATAAAAGGTTGTATTTCAAACAAGTGTTTGGCCCATCACAAAGGTAGACTACACGTTCAGAACCTTCCCTAACTGATAACACCCCAGTAAAGTTGGTAGTGCACCCATTCTACAAATAGAAAACCGAGGCCACAAGTGTCTGTAGGTTGTGCAAGGGCCACGTGTGGGGCAGTCTGATTCAGACCTGTGCATCCACACAAGTTGGTATAGCGTGGCCACGGGCTCTGGGCTCCCTTCTCTAATAATGAAAATTATTCTCCACTGTCCCACAGTATTGTCTACTAACAACCACCCCTGAGAGTGGAAAGTTTTTATTCGGTGATGTCCAAGTGGCCAAAGCCACGGTCCTCGGCAGCTCTAACTACTGCGATCACTCACAAGCGACCCCAGGGATCCCCAGCTGAGCTCACCGTGAACCTCCTTGCCGGTGGGCCCGAGCCGGCGGTGGGGCCTGGCGGCGCGCCTCAGCCGCCCGGTGGGGATCTTGCAGCGCAGTTCGTCGCGGGGCTCGGCGTCCTGCTGCCACAGGACCTGGAGGTAGCGCAGCGGGGACGGGGCCCGGCCGGCTGCCCGGCCCGGGAGGCCTGCGCCGCCGCCCAGCGCAGCGCCTAGGTCTGCGAAGGAGAACAGGCCTCCGGCTTCCGCCAGCGGCTCCGGCGCCACAGCGCACTCGCCGTCGGAGCTCGAGCGGCCCGATCGGGACTCGTCATCCGCGCCCCCGCCGGTGGCTGCCATGGCAACGGCGAGGCGCGGGCCAAGCCGCGCCAGCCTCGTTCCAGACGGACCAACGGACCCGCTTCCCTCCTGGAGGAGCCTCGCTGTCAGCGAGCGGGAGGGCGGGGCCTGCAACCACGGCAACAGAGTGCGGGTAGGCCGGGCCGCGTAGAGCGTCGGACCAATCAGAGACCGCCGACCCTGCGCAACACAGCCAATCAGGCAAGGAAAGCAGAGTACAAGACGAACACTGGTTAACGGTAGTGTGACTGGCGGGCGCGTAAGCCAATCACAAATTAGAGTGGCTACGCACTTAGCGGTTGCTACCGGAGCCAGTAAAACAGAAGAGTTCAGGCCACTTTCCGCCCCCCATCCTCTTCTTCCAGTTCTTCCTGTCGTAGCTCCGGAAAGACGACTGGCAAAGGCTTTAGCCAATCACGGCAAATGCTCTTCAGCCAATCGGAAAGGAAAGTGAAGAAACCAAACTACTCTGGTGTAGGTGTGTTTTGAATCAATGAACATACACACGAAAAGAGAGATTTCCCACAAAACGCACAATGATTTGTAGATATCACCACGAATCAGGCGGTAATCTCTTCTAACGTAATAGATTTCGCTTCGTCAGGGTTCTCTTGTCCCCGCAGGGATCATTACTTTCACAAAGAATTTTAATTCAATGTTACCTTTAATTCGGGGCAACCCTTCAGTAGGCAGATTAGCCCAGCGCTATTGCTCAGTTTTGAAAATCTATCTACAGGCTTTTGATGCTTTCCGTGAGGCCCTGCGAGAGACCAGGCAAAGTCACTGGGAAGACTTAACTACTCACAACCCTCTCTGATATTCAGCATGCACTTCCACCGCTGAGCTGTGACTAGGACACAAGTCTCCCTTTCCCGGTGTGTGACACCTGCCCGCCTCACAAGAAGCCACGCCTCTCCACAGGTACTACGGACCACTTCCTAGATAATGGTGATGGTCCCCCCTGCCTTCAGGTGAAGCCATGCACTCCTGAGTTTTATCGGGCACATTACCAACTGGCCTACAGGTTGCAGTCTCAGCCTCTTGGCCTGGCACTGGTGTTGAGTAATGTACACTTCACTGGAGAGAAAGACCTGGACTTTCGCTCTGGAGCGGACATGGACCACAATACTCTAGTCACCCTCTTCAAGCTTTTGGGCTATAATGTCCATGTTCTGCATCATCAGACTGCACAGGAAATGCAAGAGAAACTTCAGAATTTTGCACAGTGACACACCAGGTCACAGACTCCTGCATAGTGACACTCCTCTCACAAGGTGTGGAAGGTGGCATCAACGGTGTGGATGGCAAACTGCTTCAGCTTCAAGAGGTTTTTCGACTTTTTGACAATGCTAACTGTCCAAGCCTACAGAACAAGCCGAAAATGTTCTTCATCCAAGCATGCCGTGGAGAGGAGACGGATGGAGGGGTCGACCAGCAATATGGAAAGAACCACCCACAATCCCCTGGATGTGAGGAGAGTGATGCTGGCAAAGAGGAATGAATGAAGATGAGACGACCTACTCGCTCGGACATGATATGTGGCTATGCTTGCCTAAAAGCCACTGCTGCCATGCGGAACACCAAACGGGGTTCCTGGTACATTGAAGCACTCACTCGGGTTTTCTCAGAAAGAGCTCGTGACATGCACGTGGCTGACATGCTGCTTAAGGTGAATGGCCTTATCAAGGAGCTTGAAGGCTGCGCCCCTGGCACAGAATTCCACCGATGCAAAGAGATGTCTGAGTACTGTAGTACTCTGTGTCGTCGGCAGCTCTACCTGTTCCCAGGTCACCCACCCACGTGATGCCACCTGCTGTTCATGCCGTTGGAGGCCACTGGACCACTGGGGGCACAATGGAACCTTCTCTTCAGGATGATTTTTGTTCTGTCTACCCCCTCAGGGCGGAGAGACTCTACCAGGCTTGTTTCCTGTCAGCCATCTCCATCTTTGGGTATGAGACGTAAGGACAGCTCTTCCAGTGTGGTGCTCTCTCGCTGTAGAGCCAGCTCTGAATGGATTTGTTGCCAGAAGCATTTTTGGCTACAGCCAAAGAGCCTGGAAAATGACATTATGAACACAGTATTGTTGTGGGGAGAACGCATGTGGATTTCTCTATGTTTGATATTTCTGTTCCAGGGCTCTTAGGGATACTTTGGTCATTGCTTTTTTTTTTTTTTTTTTTTTACATCATTTAAGGTATCTCAGAGATCATCTCCTATCCTTTTTTCATATCTACAACCTCATTTTTTCCCACAGTGAAGATTTGGACGATGTCCCAAGTTAATGTGGGTGTGTTCATCTATCTTGATGAGGCAGAGAGACTTAGACCCTGCTACTGTGAGCAGAAGTTCCTTTGCATACTTTTGAGCGTAGGCCTGAGGTGAAGGACTGTCTCCTCAGCTTTCCCCTGGGCTCCTTTGTGCTCTGTGCACCCAGCCTTTGGCCAGAGCCTCGGGTCTGCATGCTGTGACCCTGGAAGTTGTACACAGCTCCCTGGTCATGCTTTCTTTGAATTGTCACTGAAATGAACCTTGTAGGCCTTTCATCATAAGCAGGCGGTGACAGGTAAACGTACTGTGTCTCACCTGTCACCAGGTTGTCTCCCTCCTTACTGTGATTTCTGATGTGCAGTTAAACTGAACTTCACGGCCGGCCTCCAGGACATTTCTTGCTTTGCACTGATTGCCCTCTTCATTTTCCTCCCACTCACTGTCTCTGCCAAGTCTGTGAAGTCCTCCTTTGCAGGATCTTCTGGCCACTGAAGGTGTGCTGTATCTTGTTCCTGCCATCTCCTTGAGCATGCGGTTCCTTCAGTGTTCTGAGGCATTACCCCCCTGTCCCTGTCCGTGTGTTAGTGAGGATAGCAGCCTGCACGATAGACCATTAACCCAGAAGCACTTGTCTCTGCTTTTATGAAACTTATTTATTCTTTAAAACCTTTTGCATTTCCATTTTTGCTTCTCTCCCAGTTTATTCTCCACATAACAGTAGTTTCCATTTTTTAAAATACCTGGTGATGTCACTGCCCTGCTTAGAACACTAGCTTCCTGTTAGACCTCATCTAAAATTCAAATCCTTACCCCACTTTACGGGATCTGGCTCTCACCTTCCCTTTGGATCTCAGTAAATGGTGATTTCCCACTGGGCTCCGGCCCCTCTCAGTTCCTCCTTCACTGCCTCAGGCGTTTTGAGTGCTTCTTTAGGATCGTGTCTGATTCTCGAGTCTAGTGGAGGCCTCTGGTCCGTGCTGTCCACGATCAGTCTTCTGTACCTCTTCTGACTGCATCCTGGTGGCCCTTCATTATGCTTGCTGCAGTTTGTAGAGGCACACTTGCGTGTTTTGCTTGCTGATACTGTTGGTTAAATGGCACACTGCTCGTGGCTGGCCGTGCTCTGACGGCCATGCCGGCAGAGGAGAGTGAGAGGGCCCACCGCTTTTTAGACTGGGATGCCGTCACAGGCTGATGACATAATTAAGCACAAAATCCTTACATCCCAGACTTTCGCTTATTATAAAAGAGCAGGTAGATGGGAATAGGGGCATTGTTCCTCTCAAAAACTGCTTCCAGCTGACAACTGGATGTCAGTTGGCTCTTGGGGGAGTCTTCTGAGGTAGACAGGCGTTGTGGGATGCTGTCTGTCATCCATTTGCTCTGGAGACATGTATCCCTCTTGGCTATGGCTGGGAACTTTCTGTTTGACAAGATGCTGGTGACACAGAAAAAAAAAAACTTAGAGAGATAAAAGAATCATTATTATTTTATGTTGACATTTATCTGAGGTAGATCCAGCCTGTCCCTATGGATTTTGAAACATGTTAAGCTTTATCAGAGACAGATTATTTTAAAGCACCTGTTTTCTTTATTAGTTTGGCATCCAGGAGACAAGTGATCAATTGTTAAAAGCATCTCACAGTAATATAGGTTTATATTAAAGTCTTTTTGTAGCGCCCAGATGCTTTTGGGTCTGGGGGTGTAAATACCTTTAGCTGTTACAGTTTCTTTTTTTTTTTTTTTTTTGGTTTTTTGAGACAGGGTTTCTCTGCGTAGCTTTGCACCTTTCCTGGAGCTCACTTGGTAGCCCAGGCTGGCCTGAAACTCACAGAGATCTACCTGGCTCTGCCTCCCAAGTGCTGGGATTAAAGGCGTGCACCACTACCGCCCGGCCTGTTACAGTTTCTTACTTGATGATCTCTGAACTCTGGTTCTGTGGTGGTCCTGTATCATTGGCTGAACAGTGAGTTAGAACAGGGACCTGGGAAGAGAAAAGCTTGTGGTACATGAGAATTTTTTTTTTTTTTTTTGGAATTAGGGACAAGGCAAAGATCAGGGCCCTGTCTGTATGCACGTGAGAAACACAGGCTGTGGATCTGGAGTGAAACAATGAGCTCTTATTTTAGGTGGAAATCTTTTTTCATTAAGTAACTCTGAAAGTGCAATTAAATCTGGTGAGGTGGTAAGGCTGTCCTCTGTACCCGACAATAAAGGAGAGGTGGCATCCCAAAACTCCCAGGACCAAGTCAGTGGCTCTGGTGTCCAGAAGGAAAGAAACAGATTGCTTCCCTTCTGTGTTCTGGGTTCCCTGCCATGTCTGTAGCCAAGCCTAGGTCTGCTGGAGGCCTTAGCTTGATGTACCCATGCATCTTAGCGCCTGGGGGCAGTCAGCTGACTGGTTGTCTTTCTAGGTGGCACTTTTAACAAGGCTGTTGATGGCCTGGCAGGGCATTCGCTAGCCCGTGGCCTTTTCTTCACTTAAAACCGGGACCCAGCAGCTTTTGGGAGTTATCGAGTGCCAGCACTTGGCAATTTTGTTTTCGGGCTTTTTTTTTTTTTTTTTTAAGATTTATTTTTTTATTATGTAGACAAGAGAGGGTGCCAGATCTCATTACAGATGGTTGTGAGCCACCATGTGGGTGCTGGGAATTGAACTCAGGACCTCTGGAAGAGAAGTCAGTACTCTTAACCTCTGAGCCATCTCTCCAGCCCTGTTTTCAGGCTTTTATCTTTTCCCTGGCACACCTTAAATGCCACAAATGACTCCCTTGCCTGTGGGCTTGGGAGCCTTGCTCTCCAGATGCTTAAGTTTTAGTCAGGGAGGTGTG